ATTTCACCAACCTGGAAATTCTCTGAATTCCCTCCTTTTGGGTTTTTGGAGGCTTCATTACAAAGGCATGATTGACCGATAATTGGCCAGTAGTGGTTAAACTCAATCTGTATCTCCTCCCGCTCCCTGGAAATCAGGGTGTGAAACTGGAAGTTCCAACCCTCTAATCACAAGATTGGCTGTCCTGGCAACCAGGTCCCCCACCTCCTTAGAGGCTTTCCAAAGTTTACGTCATTATCATAACAAAAAATATATTTTTTGCCCTTATCAGTTAGGAAATTCCAAGGGCTTTAGGAGCTCTGTGCCATAAAAGAGTCAAAGACTAAATATATACTTTTTATTATAAATCACAATATCACTACCAGTTTTGTCAGTTTACTATGAAGTTAAACATTCAATTACCACATGATTTTTAGGTATTTGTCCTAGAAAAATGAAAACTTTATTGTAAGTAAACCTAGAGAAAGTTTCCCCCCTGAATTTGCTTTAAGAGAACACTGTGTGCTAAATTGAACAAAGTGAAAATACATTTTTATGTGACTGAGATGTCTCATTGTTCACCAACTCAGGCATACAATGCAATCAAATTTATGTTAATTTATCTTGGTAGCTCCAGGTCTTCTGATCCCATTGGAATTTCTGTCTCTGCAAAGATTTTTTTCCTCAAGCATTTCTAAGCCTCCATATTTTCATTTAGAAAGCTGTTCTAGTAGTTGCTCAGAGTCAGTGGGAGGTATGGCAGGGTTCTATTATGGGCTACACAAAGGTGAAGTGCATTCACTAGCCTAATTGCAATTGTCAATGGTGTTTTATTCAATGTTTTTCTATCAGGTAGCTGGATTATGGCAGATTCCATCAGCAGGTGAAGCCCCTGAAACACTGAAGTGTTGACTGACTCCTTCCTTCCTACATTTATTCAGGGGACCTGTATTTCTCCTGCATTATGGTTTCTATTGTCTTCTGCACCCCTATCATAATTCCACTAAATATGATTGCTTATGGGCAGACACCAATCCTGATCAAAGACCTCTTTCCTTTTTCTTCAAAGGCTCCTCAGGTACTGTGTACATCAATGGCTATAAATCATTGCTTGAAATGAGGAATGTCAGCAATTTCACCACAAATACAATAGTAAGTTTTGTATAGTTGCCTTTAATAACATCCCTCACTGCAAAGAGAAAATGTACCTAACACTAAAACAATGGCATTGGCAGTGGGTAATTTGAAATCATATGTTCTGGCAAGGATATGGAGTGTAGATTGACTATAGTGCCAATTACGGAAGCAGCTGTGTGCTTTGGGAAATAAACCAAAACAAAACTGTAGCAATTCCATCTCAATAAGATGGATTAAAAAAAGGTATGAAGGAGAGATTCATGGTTCTTTTTAGAAAATTAACTGCTAAGCTCCCAAAACTTTGTTAGAATTAATAAAAATTTCTATAGAATATTAGAGATTAGTACAGCATAAGGATTAAGAAATAAAGCTGTTAATCCAGTCAGACCTGAGTTGGAACTCAGCCAGCATAATGCTTTGGATGAAATAAATGATAAATAAATATGAACAAATATCAGTAACATTATTAAAAGTCTACAAATAATAAATGCTGGAGAGGGTGTGAGAAAAGGGAGCCCTCCTACACTGTTGGTGGGAATGTAAATTGGCGCAGCCACTGTGGAAAATAGTAGGGATGTTCCTCAGAAAACTAAAAATAGAATTACCATACGATCCAGCAATCCCACTCCTGGGCATATATCTGGACAAAACTATAATTCAAAAAGGTATGAGCACCCCTATGTTCATAGCAGCACTATTCACAATAACAAAGACATGGAAAGAACTTAAATGTCCATTGACAGATGGACAAATGGACAGATAAAGATGTGGTACATATATACAATGGAATACTTCTCAGCCATAAGAGAGAACAGCAACATGGACACAACTAGAGATTATCATACTAAGTGAAGTAAGTCAGAAAGAGAAAGACAAATACCATATGATATCACTTATATGTGGAATCTAAAATATAACACAAATGAAACTGTCTATGGAACAGAAACAGAATCATGAACATAGAGAACAGACTGGCAGTTGCCAAGGGAGAGGGTGTTAGGGGAGGGATGGAGTGGGAGGAGGTTGGGGTTAACAAATGTAAGCTTTTATATAAAAAATGGATAAGTAACAAGGTCCTACTGTATAGCCCAGAGAACTATATTCAATATATTATGATAAGCCATAATGGAAAAAGAATGTATATATATGTATAAGTGAATCATTTTGCTTGCAGCAGTAATTAACACAACATTGTAAATCAACTATACTTCAGTAAAAATAAGTAAAACAAAAAAAAATAATAATAAATTAAAAAAATATCGGTAACATTTTACCAATACCCATATTCAGAGTCCTGTGCTCAAAGTAGTTTTGGAAACACAAGTGTAAATTAATTTAAGTAGACTTCAAAAAATGTTTTTCATAACCTTAATTAGTGCACACTGAAGACTTGCAAGACAGTGGTAGTATGTAGTATTTTTCAAAATAATTTGAACTTAGACCCCTTATTTCTCAGAATATCCCAATAGGAAAAGTGTGGCTTAAGAACCTTCTTTAATACTTACTATTACATGTTATAGGAGTTTGTCGTAGATCTTTATGGGGATAGATATTTTGATTTAGCAGTTTTAATATAGTCATTTTTAAGAAAAAATTATATTTTAATATAATATATTGGCATAATTACATCAAAATGGCTCCATTTTTTCTTAATTACCTGATAATATGCACAAAATATACCTCTGACCCTCACCCATTACAATGTCTCCTTTTTTTTTTTTTTTTTGCGGTACTCAGGACTCTCACTGCTGTGGCCTCTCCCGTTGCAGAGCACAGGCTCCGGACGCGCAGGCCCAGTGGCCATGGTTCACGGGCCCAGCCGCTACGCGGCATGTGGGATCTTCCCGGACCGGGGCACGAGCCCAGGTCCCCTGCATCGGCCGGCGGACTCCCAACCACTGCGCCACCAGGGAAGCCCTCTTCATTTCCATGTCATTTTAGAAATTTTTATGAGTCTGTGTTAAATTTATAAACCAGAAAAATATGCTGTCTATATTTGATTGGGTTATGTGACCTTAGATATTTATCCTAAAACCATTATTTTTAAGTTTATTTATAGCACTCTATTTTACTGAAACAACAGAAAAATATTTGAGAATTGACTATAGAGTTGACAGTTGGGTTTAATGGATCTTTTTATGAACCCACATTTTTTTCTCCTTTCTACTTCAGTGCCTAATATAGATTCAATCAAACAAAATTACCACAATTAGGAAGCTTACAAAAAGGAGAGTAATATGCCATCTAGATTTTCAAACAGAAAGTGAAATAAAATCCATTCGTATTCTGAAATTATTACTGGAAAGTAAATAAGTATGACCATCATAATGTTTATAAAGTAATTAGTGAATGTGATAGGCAAATCACTCAGGATATCAGGAATTGCTAGAAAATGAGCAAACATTATACTTAAAATGATTGAAGAGCTTTTCTGAATTAAGTTGCTGTAGTACACATATCTTCTGCTTATACATAATTTGACTTGGGCAGTGTCAAACTACTACGTCCTCCCTTAACCCAACTTTGACCAATCCTCCTCCTTGATCCCTACCCACTTCCATGAAATTCATCCTCACACTTATTCCTAACCCACACTATTCTTTGTCCCTAACCATCTGTAACCCAACATCATCTTCAAGACTATGCCAGGGTCAGGAGAGAGTTTCAACAATGGGATGAGGCTAAGGGATTGGTTAAAATATTGGTTTTATGTTCTGGTTCCTGTGGCATCACATTTTGCTGTTGTTTTCTTATATTTCTTTGATAACTACTGTTCAGATTCCTTGGTCAGCTCATACTCCTTGACCTAATTTTCAACTTTTGGTGTTTTAAAAAAAGATAGTCCTAGGTGCTAGGTTCAAGTATACAAGTATTCACAAGGAGTAAAACAAGCAAGGATAAATTTAGACTGCCATGGCAAGCTCTCACATCCTTTCTCATCACATTAGGACATATGAGCCATATATACACACATATAAAATCTCTGAGAAATCTAAGTGATGTGCATGTGTGTTTTAGTTACTCAAATAAGAATGACAAAAAATCCTTATTTTATAGTCTAGTAGTGACATAGCTTATGGGACATTTTCCATGGAGCCATGCTCACAGAACCATAGATATCAGGTTTGTTTATCTTAATCCATCCCAGGAAGACCATTTACCTAGGAAGACCAGGTAAATCCCCTAAAAGCATTACATACATAAGGACTCTCCAGTTAGTAAACACTACTAGTGTGCTTGCCAGGAAGTCTATCATTAGCATATTTACAATGAAATTTGATCAGGTTACCTTTCTTTTTTTCTTGTGTTCCCTAGTAAAAGGAGGGAATAGATTGCAGGCCTGCTGTTAACCCCGTTCTCCATATCTACTTACTGCTGCTATAATGGTGAGCAAGTTGATCCAGCTCTCCATGCCTCAGTTTCCTCTTCTGCAAAGTACAGGTAATAATAATAATTTCCTCATAGTGTTGTTGTAATGATTAAATAATTAATACATGTAACGTTTTAGAAAAATATTTGGTATTTGGTGAATGCCTTATAATAATAGATATCAGCATAGCTCCAGTTTAAATCTTTCTTCTTGATTTCAGCCCCACACATTCAACTGCCTGCTTAACAATTTCACTTGGATATTTCACAGGGATTTCAAATTCAGGTATAAACTGAGTTCATAATTTCTTCCCTCAACCCCCAAGCCCACCACAGATTCTACCTTAAAAAAAAATACTAGTTCTAGGGGCTTCCCTGGTGGCACAGTGGTTAAGAATCCGCCTGCCAGTGCAGGGTACATGGGTTCAAGCCCTCGTCCGGGAAAATCCCCCATGCCGTGGAGCAACTAAGCCCGTGCGCCACAACTACTGAGTCTGTGCTCTAGAGCCCGTGAGCCACAACTACTGAAGCCCGTGCGCCCAGAGCTCATGCTCTGCAACAAGAAAAGCCACTGCTGTGAGAAGCCCATACACCACAATGAAGAGTAGCCCCCGCTCGCCACAACTAGAGGAAGCCCACACACAGCAACAAAGACCCAACACAGCCAAAAGTAAATAAAAATTTAAAAAATAAATTTATTTATAAAAAGTACTAGTTCTATAGGAGAGTATATTACTTTCTTATTCATATAATAGCTCTTGAAAGAAACCTAGCAATCCTCCAAGAATTCTGCCTTTCTCATATACCCTGATACCCAATTTCTGTAGATGGTTACTGCCCAAATATGTCACTTCTTTGATTCCTTTGCCAACACCATTACAGTCTCCTTTAGTCTCTGATCTGAATGATTGTTAAGGTGTTCCAATTAGCTTTTCCAAATTCATTAATATACTCTATTCTTCCTCCACTGAAAGCACAAGTCAAATCATCTAACTACCCTACTAAAGTGGTCAGTGGGTGCCCGTCATTTCTAGGACAGAGACCAAAATTCTCAATGTAGATTCACACCCCTATATCATCCAGGCCTGCCCTCTTCATGAGACCCATTTGTCCCTGCTCTTGCCTCAATGTTTTATTTCAATCCATTAAATAATTTATTATTCTTCCTGCCTTAAGATCCTCACACATTCTGTTCCATATTTGGAAAGCTCTTGCCTACCCTTGACCCAGTTAAAAGTCCTCCTAATTCTTGTGAGCTCATAATGAGCATTAGTTCCTCAATAAACATTTCCTTGATTCCCAAGAGAGACCAGGTATTCCTATAATTTCCACACATAGCCTGCTTCACAATGAAAATTAAATAAAAATCAATAAATTGATCAAATTAATAAAATAAGTAAGAAAATTAAATAATAACTGTATTCCTAGGGTCTTCCTCAGTCTTTGACTCTTGCTTAAACAGTATTCTTTTTTTTCCCCTTGTACAATGCCCAAAATGGAATGGCTTGCTCTTGGTCATAGTAAAAATGTTTGTATGTGGAAAATCACATCGAAGTGTCTGCATCAAAATGCCATGGCTTTAATTGTTTCACACTATAAAAATATCTCAATATTACATACAGAAAATATATAGTTGTTTTGCAATGCAAACTCCTGGTCAAATTTTTTTAACCTCTTAATTTCCATCACTTATTTCTATCCTCCCCCAACTCCCTCCTTTCTGGCAACCACTTGTTTGTCCTCTGGATCTCTGAATCTGTTTCTGTTTTGTTATGTTTATTCATTTCTTTTGTTTTTTAAATTCCACTTATCAGTGAAATCTTAGAGTATTTATTTTCTCCACCTGACTTATTTCACTTAGCGTAATACACTCTAGGCCCATCCATGTTCTCACAAATGGCAAGGTTTAATTATTTTCTATGGTTTATATGTATATCATTTTATATATATACCACACCCATCTGTTCATGGGCACTTAGGTTGCTTCCATAGTCTGATTATGGTAGATAATACTGCAGTGAACATAGGAGTGCATATATCTTTTCCAATTAGTGTTTTCATTTTCTTCAGATAAATACCCAGAAGTAGAATTGCTAGATCATATGATAGTTCTTTACTTAATTTCTTGAGTAATCTCCATACTGTTTTCCATGGTGGCTACACCATGGAACAGTGTACAAGAGTTCCAACCAAGAGTGCACAAGAGTTCCCTTTTATCCACATCCTAAACAACATTTATTATTTCTTGCTTTTTGTGAAGATAGTCATTCTGAAACGTGTGAAGTGATATCTCATTGTGGTGTTGATTTGATTTCCCTGATGATTAGTGATGTTGAGCACTGTTTCATATACTTGTTGGCCATTTGTATATCTTATTGGAAAAAATGTCTATTCAAGTCCTCTGCTCATTTTTTAATTGAGTTTATTGTGTTTTTGATGTTGAGTTGTATGAGTTCTTTGTATATTTTGGATATTAACCCCTTATCAGGTATATTGTTTGCAAATATCTTCTCCCATTCAGTAGGCAGCCTTTTTGTTTTGTTGATAGTTTCCTTCTCTGGCAAAAGCCTTTTCATTTGATATAGTCTCATTTGTTTATTTTCTGCTTTTGTTTCCCTTGCCTGGGGAGATGTATCCAAAAATTTATTGCTAAGACTGATGATGTCATAGAGTGTACTGCCTATGTTTTCTTCTAGGAGTTTTTTGGTTTCAGGTTTTACATTTAAACCTCTAATCAATTTTGAATTTATTTTTGTATGTGGTGTGAGAAAGTAGTCTATTTTGATTCTTTAGCAAGTGACTGTCCCACTTTCCAAACACAACTTATTGAAAAGACTGTCTTTTCTCCATTGTATATTCTTGCTTCCTTTGTGGTAGATTAATTGATCATATAAGTGTGGGTTCATTTCTAAACTCTCAATTCTGATTCATTGATCTATGTATCTGTTTTTGTGCCAGTATCATACTGCTTTAATTATTGTAGCTTTGTAATATAGTTTGAAGCCAAGGAGTGCAATACCTCCAGCTTTGTTCTTCTTTCTCAAGATTGTTTTGTCTATTTGGGGTCTTTTGAATTTTCATAAAAATTTTAGTATTATTTGTTCTAGCACAGTGAAGAAATGCCATTGGTATTTTGACAGATGTTGCACTCCTGGCAAATTTTACAGGAAACATTGCTCTTAGTAACTAACTTAGTTGATAGGAGATATATATATATATATATATATATATATATATATATATATTAGAATTCAGCTTCCCCAAAAGTTGGTTTGTTTTAGAAGAGTTGGTCTGAGCCACTGTTTCTTAATTTTAATAGATAGGATGATAAGTTATCTATAGTGGCTATTTATAGTTTAAAGTAGTAAAATAATCATCACTTTGGAGGATAACACTTATTTTTCTGTCAATATATCAGTAGGTCTTCAATCTTGATCCACCAAGTATGATTTCATGTCACTAGAATAAATGATTTTTTAAAAAGTGAAGATGAAAAAAAAAAAGTGAAGATGGGATAAAAATAAAACCTTTAAAAACCAGTGCCTTATAACAACCTCAGTTTTCAAATTGTCTATCAGCAACGATTCTGGCCCTCATAGTTTTAGTAAAGTTTATATTCTGCATAAGAATCATTTCCCAATAGCTTATTTTGAGGTTATACTGCTTGTTTAATCATTGTTTGCTGTCCAGAGTCAAAAAAATTCTAGCAGAAACACAAATTCAAACTGGAAACAATCTCATTTTGTTCCTAACAGATTTCTCCATGTGGTATAGTCAATATTGGTCTATGTGCTTAAATTCTCCTTCCTTTTTAGTAGTGTACTGTCCTGAGAAACATAGATTAGTAATTTTTTTTGAAAAGGAAACCATAATACAATTTAGAAGATATGTCCAAATAACTGCTAAATCCATAATATAGGAGAAATAAGAAAGATGTTCCTTTTTAAAATTGTAGCCTCTTACCTGCTTTATCAATTAAGATAATTGGCAGTGTTTAAACCTTTTTTTGTGCCAGTATCATACTGATCCATCTGCGTGACAAAAAAATCTTCACTGAACAATTTTTTAAAGTTGAGATTTATAATCAATTGTGGTATTATTACTCATATCAAATCAAAAAGAAGCTTGGGTACCAATAAAGTTCTGGGCACATTTTCTTGATTATAAATCTGAAATACATGTACTTACCACTTTCCACAATTCATTTAAAGCTAAGAATCATATTTACTATTTTCTTCAGTCCACAAATTCCAGAGATTGGGTTATTCTACACATTAGTTCTCTTATTTCCTTCCAGAATTGTTTCTGAATTTTTCCAGATGACTTTCTGATAAGAAATAAATAACAAAGCAAACACTTGCTTATTTGTTAGGAAAGAGAAAATAACTGTAATTACCATGTATATAAAGTAGTTAATCTCCTCTTGGGCAGTCTGTCTGTAAAATGAGGACACTCTAGTGTTTACTCTTAAACAGATAAAGCTATTTTGTGGTAGGTGGAAACAATGTGTTGGCAGTCAGTAATCTCCATGTACAAACCCAAATTTTTCAGAGTCCATGAATAACATTTTCAATGTTCTTGAACCAAAAATTTATCCATTTTTCAAAGTCTTCAATACCATCCCCAGATTCATTTTTCTTTGCTTCTCTAAGGAGTTTTCTGTTCTCTCTCCTTCTAAAGTGAATTCCCTAGGTGACCATTTTACAAAGGAGAATTTTACCTGCCACCATGAATTAAGTTCAAGGAGAACTGTGAAATAAATTACCAATCATTTATCAGACTGATAAAGCCACAGAATCAGCTAACTCAGTTCTCAGAAGACCCCACATTTTTCATTAATACCAATGCTGTGGGATAAGACACCAAAATGATTGATTAAATTTTTCATCCACTTTGCGTATGTAAACATTCTCAAGATTTTATCTTCTCAGGATAGAATTTATTTTCCTTTCTTATGTAACTACATTGTGTACCCCTTTATGAGTACCTGCTTTTGAAAACTGTATAGAATTTTTGGAAGTTTGGATTGCTATTTCAGGGTGTTCAATGTTGCCATTTTATGATAGTGAATACCCTCAGAAGTATACAATAAGTTTTTTGTTTGTTTGTTTGTTTTCCACTAATCTCCTTGAAGTGTCATATGATTTGAAAATATGCTGGTTTTTATTCAATGTATGAATTTACTAATTTTATTATTTAAAATTGTAGCTAAGTATCTTTTATAAATAAGAAACGCTTACCATAGTTGGGTAGTATTTTTTATATTTATCTAAAACAAACTAAACAAGCGGACCCCAGAAATCCACGATATACTAATCCCACATCATTGCAGGATTGAATAAATAAATAAATGAACAAATACAACACTATTTAGGGATAAAACAAAAGGACTAAGTTACATGTAGACCAGGTACTATAAATGAGCACATTTCTCTGTGGGGTTTTTAGTTATGATAAAGTCTGTTAACTCATATCTTTAACAGATAAAGTCTGTTAAAGATAAAACAGAATAACTATCATCAAGATGATTTGCTTAAACCTATGTCTTCAGGGAGATATAGAAATTCACTCCAAAACCATGAGGATAAGAACAGTACTGTGGAACTGTGGAACACTACTGTGGACAATGTTGTTTTTGCATTAAGACAATCAATTAATAATGACTCATGGTTACTAAGACAGATTTTATTTCTTTAATAGGCATTTTAAAAATGTGATCCCAAAGCCAGCAGCATCATCAACACCTTGGAATTTCTTAGACATGCCAATTCTTGGGCCTTGTATTAGTTTCTAGGGATGCCATAACAAAACTCCCATAAACTTGTTGGTTTAAACTACAGTAATTTATTTCCTCACAGTTCTGGGGGCTAGAAAGTCCAAGATAAAGGTGCCAGCAAATTCAGTCTCTGGAAGTTTCTCTTCCTGACTTCCAGACTGCCATCTTCTTGCTGTGTTCTCACACAGTCCAGAGAGTAATCTCTGGTGTCTCTTCCCCTTATTTTAATGTCAGCAGCTTGCTGGATTAGGGTTTTATCACCTCCTCACAGAGCCTACCACCAAATGCAGTCACATTGGGAGTGAGGGCTTCAACAGATGAATTTCAAGGGGACACAAACATTCAGTTCATAACAGGCACCAACCCAAATGTAACAAGCCAGAAACACCGGGTTTAATAAGCCCTCCAGTAATTCTGATGCACACAAAAATGTGAGAGCCAATGCTAAGGGAGTGGTGTTCAACCCTAGTTACCCATTAGAACTACCTAAGGATTTTTTAAAACATACCAATACCTGGGGTTCACCCAACAACAATAAATTCAAACTACCTATGAGTGGATCTTCAGCACTGATATTTTTACAAGCTTCAAGAAAATTCTTATTTTCTGCCAAAGCAGCAAAACACCCATTCTAATCCCAAATTCTCTGTGTGTGTGTGTGTGTGTGTGTGTGTGTGTGTGAACTTATCTATATTCACCACTGTATTGTCAATTGTTCTCCTGATTCTGCTTTCCTCAATCATCTTCCCCAAACCTCATTCTTCCTGATAATTGTTTTATCCTTCTCTTGCAATCTTCCTCCAATAACTCACAAATTATAACCCAATTTCTCCAGCCAAATTAAAAAAAAAAAAAAAAACCTGTAAAGGCATAGTCATAAAAGGTCTGGAAAAAATTTATTTTCTACTCTCTACTATAAAATCCAACCTCATCAGTCGGCTTATTTTTCAAATATGAAACTGACTCTAACTAATAAAATCTTGCTTCTAAATTCCTCCTGCATAAAACATATCCCAGCAAATTTAGTATATCTTTGTAAATTATCTCATTAGGAGATAATACATGTTAAAGTATTTTCATTAGCTGTAAAGGACTGTATTAATGTAAGGTATCATTACTGTTAACTGGAATATAAGTTCCTAGAAGAAAGAGAATATGTTTATTTACCAGTGTAGTCTCAACACCTCAAAAAGCCAGGGGTGTTCAGAGCTCAGTTAGTTTCTTTTTAATTACGTATTTCATTGATTTATTTAATTGTGAAATTAAAGTCAACACAAATAAGAGTTTTGAAAACTTGACTTTAATAACTGAGTTACTGTGAAATAAGCATAAGATCATGTATAAATCATAACACCTAAGAGAGAAAATTAATAATAGAACATTTATAAAAGTTGATGATGTGATGTCAATAGTGATAATGATAATTGGAAGAATAAAAGATTTCTTAGGAAAACATTAAAAAAACTGTTTTGAAAATATAACACTTGTTGCATGCCACTCAAATAAATAAAGATAACGAGGAATAAAAGGAGAAAAAGGAAGAAATGGAAAAAGGGGAAGGAGGAAAGGATTATAATTGGTGCAATCTCCCTATTATCTATGCTAAAAAAGTTGTGTCTGAGAGTTCCTTTAACAACTACTTAAAAAAAACAAGGCATATATATATATTTACAGGCAAACAACAAGGTGTATATATATGTAATATTGTAATATATATGATAGTGTAATAATATATGTTTCATACGTATATATGTGTGTGTATATATTCCTCATCAATTGAAACATTGAAGTCAGGCTAATTGGGTATCAGATTCTATTTCTCTCTTTGTTTTTGCTTTTCCATGTGACTTTGGGTAGGTTAAGTGACTCCTCTGAGACTTTTTTCTTGCTTTGGAGCTTAAATAAAGTCACACACATAAATTGCCTTGTAGAATACCTAGCATATAGTTCTCTTCCCTATTTTCCCCTGGAGATATTTATACCTGCATTTAAGTAAAGTTGTAGGTGTTGTTTTATTTAGAGGTATTCCAGCTCATTTGTGAAAGCAAAACTTAGAAAATAGAAACAACATTTTTAATCACATTTCTAATCAATTATTTTCATCAACTTTTGTCCTAAGGACTGATACTATTTTCTGTTACTTTACTGATTGTTATTTCACACTGGTCTGAAGAAGAGACAGGTGTTTAAAAATTGAAACAATGATGAATTCTATATTGTTCATTTAATATTTTAGTAGTCAGAGCATCACCATTATCACCTGTTATTAGTAAAGAATTATGAAAAGCCTTGGTTTTCTCTCCATTTCCAGAATATTTGAATAAGCACTGCAATTCAGAGTAAAACAGTGCCCCTGTTACATTTTACCAACAACCCCTCAACTTCCTCAAAAGCATTAGTACACTGAAAGACATGTTTTACTTACCTTGATGTGTAGTACAAGTTGTCTTGAATAAATCTTCATGAAGATCTTTTTGGAGGGAAAAAAACAACTTTAGGAAAGGTTATTTCTCATTATCAATGTAGAATGACTGGGACTGTAGATGAGAAAGTGATTATATAAATGAAAGGACATACCTAGACATACATAGGAAAATTCTGTAGTGATCTTCAGGAGCTTGTTTATGTCTGATTGCTATTTCAGCAGAAATCAAAAATACAACTGACCTTTCCCAACTTTCAGCAACATTTTGAGTGAAAACTATAAAGAGCTACATAATGTACTTTGAAAAAATAAAAATATTTTCAACACATTCTAAATATCTCATTTTCATGACTATTAGTTGGATTTAGGAATATGATACTGTGGAAAGAAACTTACTTAGACTGGGAATATGGAGACTTAGTTTTATTATTGGCTCCACTCTCTAGTTTGTTGCATATTTCTGGGTCCAACTGACTCATCTATAAAGTGAGAAAATTGTACTATATGACCTCAAACAGCACTTTTAAAATTTAAGATACTGATATGCAGTAAGACTCATCAAAGTTTTCTCATATCCATGATCCTTAGTGTGCTTTTAAATCATTGATCATCATTTTGATATCTGAAGAGATGTCAAAACTTACCTTCAAGGGTATTCAAAGCCTGCATAGAGAATTATGAAAACACTCCGATGATAGCAATGCTATTTAATTTAAAATAACCATGTGTATAGCTGATTCACTTTGCTTACAGTAGAAACTAACACAACATTGCAAAGCATCTATACTACAATAAAAATTAATTTAAAAAAATAATTTAAAAAATAAAATACACCTGTGTTTTTATATTACCCACAAAACTGAAAAAGAAATGAAAGTAATGATCCAAAGACTAAAATTCATTTAGTTCTTCCTAAGGAAGGATTTCCATATGCATCTTATATGAAATGATAGGAAGAGAAATCAACCTTCTCCTTCCCCACCCCTCCTAAATGCCTCACAAAATGTCATTGTTTAATGTTTAATAAATTCTTTCAAGTTGATGGCAGAAGCCAAAATAATTAAGAAGGTCAACACAGAAGAAAACCCAGGAGGTCCACTAGAAGAAATAATTTTGAGGAACGAAAAGATTTAAATCTATCAAACATTAGGGATGTCACAGAAAAATTCCTTTAAAATATTAGATACTTCAGGGTCCTTCTTGATCAGTTTCCATTTTACTTTAAGTTTTAAGGGAAGGAGGGAAAAGTACATTTGTCTGTTGCAACAATTAAAAGGAGGGGGTAATGTCTGTATATTACAACTAGCCCATAACTTACAAGAGATTTCTTACCAGGACAAAATTTAACTAATTTTTCCATAGTCTTGCAGCCAATTGAGCTGAGGAGAAGAGAATTGGAGGAGTAAGGAAGATTTCTCATAGAATTCCTGTGTTATCCTTAAATCCGTAGTCATACTTCTGAGTTAGGAACACAGATTCCATGACTAGTACTCTAGCCCTGAAAAAAATAGTTTACATTTCAGGCCATAACCAGGGACTGGAATAAAGCATGTGCAGGAAAGAGAAATAGAGTGAGACTCTGGGAGGTGGGGGTGGGGGAGGGGAAGAAGTGACTAATGTACACTAATGCAAAAACTAATTATGTATACTTGAGCTAATGGGGTAAAACAGAGACAACTCCGAAAAGATGTATAATATTACTGAAAATTTAGCTAAACTACTTGAAATGCAATTAACAGTCATTTCACTTCCCATGACCAGGTTTCTTTCATTATCTGAAACTTACTTCTTTTTGGAATAAGGTTAATATTTGTAGAAGTATTAGTATATTAAAGCATAACATTTGGGACTTCCTATGCATTAATATCTTTTAACCATCTCCCAATTTGTTACTTGCCTTCATACCAGGCTAGTATAGAGAATAACTCAGAAAGTTTAAAACACACTAATAATCATCTTTGCACCCACAAAAATGAAACTAAGAGTATTCACAATGATTGAATGTTTAATGACTTATAATTAGTGATTGCCCTTCTCTCACCATCTTGTGAATATACATAGAAATTTATTTTTTCTTGAAAGAAGTATATGGGTATTAGAAATAGTTTTTGAATTTTGATTATGATGATACTTATACATCTCTATTTGTCAAAAATCATTGAAAATCCAGAAAATGTAGATTTTATACTGTATGTATATTTTACCTCAATAAACTAGACTTTTTAAAAAATGCTCAGAACTTTAAATAAGTATATAGTAAACAAAAATTTTAATTTTTAAGTAACATTTAAAAAATCAATTTTGAATAGGTTATAGATGTTCATGAATCAAAATTCAAATAGTGTGAAAAAGTATATGATAAAATCTCTGTCCCAACTTTTTTCTCCACCCACCATATTTCTATCCTGAAGACAATTGCCCTTCTAGTTTCATGAATGTTCTTTTAGAGAAAGTATTCCTTATATATAGAACTGTATATATGTTCCATGCATGTACACTTGTATGTGTGTTGCATATGCACCTTAATTGGAGCACAGTTTGCACCTTGATTTTTGTACTTAATATATTTTGGAGATGACTCCATATCATTACACATAGGTCTGACTCATTCTTTTTAATGGCTATTCCATTTTAACAATGTGCTATAAAAACATCTTTATCCAGACTTTTGAGATTATTTAATATTTTGTTTCAATTTTTTGTTATTGAGACAGTACCAAAATGAATATAATAATAGATATTTGTATATATGTAGTATAAATTCCTAGAAGTGAAATTCTGTGTCAATGAATATGTGCATATTTAGTTTTAATAGATATTGCAACATTTCCCTTATGACTTGTACTATTTTACACTCCTGCCTGTAATTTTGATCACCTGTTTAGCCATATTTTTGCCAATAATAGAAGGTTATTAAGACTTTTTTGGCAATGTTATGCAAAAATGCCATAGCGTTATAGTCATAACTTGTATTTCTCTCAATGTAAGAACAAGCATATTTTCATATGTTCGAAAAATAAAGTTTCTGGGTGATAAATAAAGTTTACTTTATATGGTAATTCATTTAGCTGAACATTATGCTTTAATTATTTATTTATAATTAGTGTTTTCAAAATTACATTTTCTAGCTTCAGTTTCACCTTGGGTCTTGGGTGAAATTTAGATTCAGCCAGCCAAATGCACTTGGATATCATTGCTTGAAGACAGAAATTAGATAGAGGTCATATTTCTTCTATTTCTGCTTCTGCTTTTACTGCTGTCAAGTATGGTTATGGAGACATTGAAATTTTCTATGGCAGTCTTAGAAAAGTTCCCAGAAATCAGTCATATGCTTTAAAGGCAAGAAACAGAGTCCTCTTTTGGCCAATACTTCTTCCAGGTCCAATATATCTCTGCAGAAAATAAGTACAGTCTCAGTGATCCCTCAGTGGAATGTTTTTCATTTTTAACTTATATAGTATCCTTATAGATCCTGGGATGATATCCTTCCCAATGTTTTCTAATCTATGACTGAGGTGAGATACTTGCCATCAAGATATTTTCAGGAATATTGTGTTGGGGGAAGGAACAAGATACCAAGTTCTGAATAATTTTCCCTAGTTCTGAGTGAAGCTCCTTGAGGCACAGGGTTGTATATTATGTGTGTGATCTATTTTAGCCTCTACTTCTTCCCAGCCAATGGAAGGCAATTTTTCTCCTTCACCTTGCCTCAACTACAGACCACTTCCCACACAGATATGGCATGTCTGCATGTTTCCTCATTCAGCACTTCCTCCCCTGCTATTCTGTTAGCCAATGGTATTCAGAAAAATGTTCCAGGGCCAGCTTACACTGCTTGTATCTTTTGTTCCAAAGAAGGGGCTGTTAATTTTAGCTCACAGGATAAGTCATTTATAACAGAGAACTGTGCAAGGCTTGTTGAAAGCCACAACTGTAGGCATTTCTTCTGGTGTCTCCTAGTTTTTTTATTTTTTGGTTTTTCGTTTTTTTTTTTTTTTTTTTTTTTTGCGGTATGTGGGCCTCTCACTGTTGTGGTCTCTCCCGTTACGGAGCACAGGCTCCGGACGCGCAGGCTTAGCTGCCATGGCTCACGGGCCCAGCTGCTCCACGGCATATGGGATCCTCCCGGACCGGGGCACGAACCCGCGTCCCCTGCATCGGCAGGCGGACTCTCAACCACTGTGCCATCAGGGAAGCCCTGTGTCTCCTAGTTTTATTGAGAATATTATCCAATATTTCTGAGAGGACAAGGGACCATCACCACTTTACTCTTCAATCTTATTAACCCAAGTTTTCTTAACTTTCAAGAGTGTAAAGTATTTGCCTCATAAGCACATCAAGGAATAAAAGTAAATTTATTGTATGAGTAGTTAGGGTTAGAAAAGTGTTCTAGATCTATTTATTTTTGCTTTAGAGTTGGTAGAACATGACTCTCATAAAATAGGAAGAGATTTGGATTGCTGTGAATATATCTCTAGCCTTGTCAGGTTTATTTTGTCATCTTAAACCTACTATTTTTTCCTGTCCAATAAATGTACCCGAGGGTCCAGTGCACACAAAAATTTGTGGTAATAAAATTCATTGGTTTTCCCTTCAGCCATGTGAAAATAAAACCAGAAGATGGAAATGTGGAAGAGTGTCCTCACATGGAAGAAGGCCTCATGTTGGTACCCTAGTCTTGGACTTCCTGCCTCCAGAACTATGAGAAATAAATTTCTGTTATTTATAAGTGAAAAAAAAAATGGCTTGTTATCCTGATTTTTATTCCCTTGGCCCTCCCTTTGATTTTTAAATCCATTATTGATTGCTAATCCCAGTCTAACTGTATAAAAATCACTTATTAAAAATATATATGCCTGAGTTTCCCCCTAAGCCCAATGGATAAAAATCACCAGGAACATATCTTTAGCAAAATAGTTTAAGAAACTACTAAGGTGATTCTGATAGCTAGCCAGTTTTGAGAACCGCTGTGCCCTAAATTATTGAATCAGAAACCATCAGAAAATTCAAAGACCAACCTAAGAGCCTTTCAAATTAATTCAATTTTTGCACAATCAATAAGGCATAGCAGTTTAACTTGAAGGTCAAAAGCAGTAGTTTGTCTCCAGATTCTCTTAACATGAATATAATTAATAAATTTAAACTGATGTTAACCTCTTTGGAAACACATATCATAAGAGCATTTCAGGCCCAGTGAATTTTATTTTATCTTTTTTAAAAGGCATTAGAATTTGGGATACTCTTTAACATCTGCTTTTAGCAGAGTGACAAAACCAGATGATAAGTTCCATCAAAAGAGAGAGACAACTTGTTATTCATAAAGGAGTAGGACATTTACTTACACAAAAAAAGAAAACAAAATAAAAAGAAACCTGAAAAGAAAAGAAATTGGGAATGTCTACAATGTATTCAAGCATTTAGTCAATTATTTTGACAACATGTAGAAGAGAAAACTTAAGTGTTTTCATTTACCAGGGACCAAAAAAAAAACCCAAAAGTCAAAAGCACTGGTTATGTTTTGTGATTAAGTTTGCACTTGGAAATCATATAAAATCTAACACTAGGAAGAAATAATCCAGTGAGGGTGTCTGAGACCATATCATTCAACTAGAATTTGTTGTTACTATGCACTAAGAACTCTGTTTGATATTTCCTACATGTTATTTCATCCAACCCTTATAAAAACCCTGTGAGTTAAGTGTCATCTCCATTCTACTGATGATGGAATGGAGAATCAGTGGTAAGTTACTTACTCAAAGACACATGACTAAAAAGAAACAAAGGACCACACTTGGACCCCATGCAACAAATTTAGTGCCTTTTTTTTGCTACAACACAATTGCCTATTTTGTTATATGTGTTGTCCTCTATTAACCTGTTCCCTCTTCTGCAATTTCCCCTTTGCTTATTTCTCTGGCATCTCCAATCTCCTTATTCCTTCTTTGTCACATGTTTCTCTAACTGGTAATACCACTTCATCTTATTGTCAATCACCAAATATGTGCAACCTCCTTGGAGTCTTAGTGTAATCGGAGTAACATGTGAGGATGGAGACAAGGCTGGTTTGCAGAATCTTAAGAAAATAAATCAGCTTCATGATGCCTGCTGGTATAAAGAAAACAGGGAATGTGATGTTTAAAGTCAATTCAAAGATGCAAGCATACACAAAATTTACATAAATGTTAAGACTCTCTTCCTCCTTTCACAATATAATCTAGAGTTACGTCTACCTGCCTTCTACATTGTGAAAAGTACACACTATAATTAAAAAGTAAGATCATTTCAGGAGAGATAGGAAAAACAAGATTATGTATGGGAACACTGACCTCAAGTGGAAAAGTCTTGCCATCAAGGGCCACATTCACTGATCTCATTTAATTAATTTTTCTTACAAGCACTTCATACTTTTTGTGAAAAAAAGTAGACACTCACTAACATTGAGGGGGAAAAAAAGGTTTACCTGGATGCAGACATTCTTGAAATATAAGTCACCATGCGTTGGCCTCTCCATTGTCTAACAGCCATGAATAGAACATAAATTCATGGCTCACATTCACCCTGTAAATAATGACAGACCCTTAATGACTGTGTGAAGCTGGCTTCCATTCTGAAAGATTTGTTTGTACACCTATATGATTGTTAAATATGTTGACTATGACCTCAGAATAAATCATAAGAATCCAAAATTAACCTAACTATATAAAAAGGTAAGCAGGATCATAGTAAAGGCTTAATTAACTCATTAACAAACAAAAATGAGATAGAGATATAGTTCAAATGAGTTTGAGGTATACACTATAAAATTTTCCCAGTTTTACATCTGTGCATCATTATTTTTAAACTATTTAAGAGTGCAAAGGAGGAATATGGATCTTACTTTTAGATAGAACAGAAAGCAAATCCTGAGTCTATGATCTTGATAAGCTATTTTAAATCTGCCTCCTCAAAAGTAATGTTAGCATTATTTTAATATCTATATTACAAACTCTTTCTAAAAGTTAAGTGAAAAAAAAGAGCCCAGTTACAACTCATATACGCAAGAGTAAATGTTAACTATTGTCCTTTAAAAAAACACATTGGGAAGATAAAGGGCTTTAGAGGTTTATGTCCATATGTATTTACAACAGGGTGACTTTGGATTTTTGTTTATGTTGAACATAGTACAAAGAAATAGAGCATCAATGGCAGTCAAATATATTTCCATTTCCCCTACAAGGAGGCTAAGTACTTGTTTAAAATATTTTTCCTTTGGTAATTTGAATCCAAGTGTCAAAAATTAAGTCAAACATGTCAGAAATAATTCATTGTTTACTTTTATTTTTATGTGCCATTTGAAGAATGGAAACAGGCACTTCATACATTATCAAAGTGGCACTGATACTTTTTCACATTACTTATTTGAGAAACAAGAATTTCTGGAAGGAACTCAATTTCAAACGTGGAGCAATGCTAAGTCTTTCCATAAAACAACAAATCTTCAACTAGACATTGTACAGATCATCTTCTATATCATTAATTTATATCATACTGTATACAGCAATTTGACACCTTCATTTGCACCAACCCCTATAACAAGATTCTATCTAAGATATAGTCCAAAGGCAATAGCAATTAGTTTACAGAAGTGATTGAATATAATATTTATAAGGCTTTAATTTTGAAACATGATGGGTTCTAAGCTCATATGTACCAATAGAGATTCTAGGGTTGAGTCACCTCCTACTAAACTCTTTTTACTACCATCCCATAAATGACTCTGTTAGCACTTTATTCTACAATTGCTATATTAATTCCCAACAAAACACTACACTATCCTTACCAACTACCACTCTCAATATTATCTATATTATCACAACCCTCTCCACTGCCTGTCTTTATCACTTCTTTTTTATTCTTCCTTCAGAATTCCTTTGTTTCTGACATGTTTTACAGAATTAAATAGTAAAAGTGATATTTATTTCTTTCTATTGGTACTTCATGAATATTCCCATTATTTTTCTTAATTTCTGAAGCCTGCCATAGATTTTATATTTCATCCTCTCAAGCAAATTAGAGTATCTGTACCTAAGAATAGATTCACAGAGGAGTTATTTGTATGATACTTTATTTCAGATTTAAACATGATCTAGGTTTTCATCCATTTTATGTTTCAGTTGATTGCATGCTTTGGCATGAGGTTGGCAGTGAGAAGGAAAATGTTTTTCCAACAATTTGGCTTTCCTGGCTAGATATCCAGGTGTTTCTTTTTATTCTTTTATAGCTAACTGTTGCAATAGCAAGGACATTTAATCTGTCATCATGTTCACAAAGAGATTGCCCATGGCTGAAGTTCCAATCAAATATATGAAATCTTCTTCCCATCTGTGAGATGATCAGGTAACACTGCATAGGCTTTTAGGTTTCTTCATTCCCTAGTATTATATGGACCTCTTTTATATAACAACAGGAACTCAGTATATATTCAATGGTTATGAATCTGAATATAGTTTTCACTCGCTGAAAGACTTTCCTCTTTTAAAATCCAAAAGATTTACCTTATCAAGAATCTGGTAACTTCAGGAATTTTATATTAGGATTTGAGCAAAAGGAAATAGCTACTTACAAAAATCTAATGATTCTCTTGGAGTTTGGAGTGTTTTTAATACTTCTTGCTTACAGGTTCTATATCATGAAGAAAACATGTACAATTAATAAAAGGGTGATTAAAGTAAGCATCCCAAAACTCTATGGTAAAATTGGATAGGACAATGTAGCTTGGACTTAAAGTCTTACTGTTGCCTTCCACATAGCTGAATTGAAGACAAAGATACTCAGAGCAAATGACTAGTCTCAATCACAGGTAAAAAAAAAAGCAAGAGCTATTCCCATCACATCCCACTTCTACCATTTCTAAGAGACTTTATTAAGAAACGTCTGAACTTGGAAGTCCAGAGTTCTTCATACAGATCCTTGAGGGGAAAATAATACTACTCATTATTAAGGAGATGGCTTAATTAGATAATTTCACTTGGTGGAGAAAATAAACGGGCTCTGAATTAGTGCTCACTGTTAAAAATATACTTTGAGACAAGAAGAAACTAATACAAATTCCTTTAAGGAGACATCTCTTTTTTGTGTGGTTCCTCCACCATAAGTATATGGAAATAAAGGAATGCCTGATGGAAATCAACAGCATCATACTTTGTTATCTCTTCAGGCTTTCCTGTGAGAAAACAGTAAAAACTAACATGATGTTTAATATCTCTGAGAATTCTTTCAGTGAAAGATTTTTTAACTCATCATTTTTTACTTTATCTGAATCAGGATCTTGGAACAAAAATGATATGGAAGATAAAAAATTTCTGGATCTTAATGCTGATTCAATAAATTCCAGCAATGCAAATACTCTATATCAAGCAGAAAAATAATATTATTTCAATCAGAATCATGGAAACTAGAGCTTATTTATTATTCTCTAGAATTATATAGTCCTCTTCTTTAAGCAACAGGAAAGAATTGCCAAGATGTCAGAGGAGAACAAGGATGTGGAGTCCATCTCTCCCCACAAACAAATCAAGAATACATCTACAAGTGGAAGAATTCTCACAGAGCACCTGTTGAACATTATTAGAGGAACTCTGACACCTAAAGGACAAGAAAGATCCCCACAGAACTGGGTAGGATGAAAGAAAGAAAAAGGGAAAAGGAAGAGGAGAGGAAGCAGGATGGGACCTATGCGCCTGGCAGGGACCTGAAGGTGAGGAGAGGTTTCAACATCTGGGGAAATCCCCACACCAATGGGGAGATCAGCTGCAACAGAAGGGGAGCTTCAGGGGCTCAGAGGAGAGCCCAGAAACTGGTCTGTGGCAGTCAGGACAGAATGAGACCTACACAGACGGTCCATGCCACAGCAATGTGCAGCCAGCCTGAAGCAGGTGTCCGCTGGTGCACATGAGTCTGGGTGCTGGAATGTGGAGTTTGGAGAGCAGACCCAGGGAGGGGACAGCTGTTGGCTGTGAGGAGACAGCCTGAGGGGATAGGAGTGAGGAGCTCCACAACCAGGAATACTCAGAGGGCAAGCCCAGACCACACCACAGAAGCAAAGCACCATTGTTGAGTAACATGCAAAGGGCTGGGCCACCATTTCAGCCTCTCTCCTCATGCACCAACCCCTGCCTCCACAGGAACTAGGGAGGACTCCCACCAGAGCCAGCTAGGGTGCCCCTGACATCGCCTCTTCTGCCCCACCCAAACCTGGGCAATATGCTTGCCCTGATAGCCACCTGATGAGCTTGCATACTGCAAACTCTACCCCAGCACTCTCACACTTGGGTGGCCCACTGACACCAGTCACCTCCTGAAGGAGTTACACGTTTCAGTCTCTAGGCCAGCACCCTCCCGCCTGGATGGACTGCTCACCCTGGATGCTGCCTCAGCTCCTTCCTGCATGATGGGCTCATGTGCTCCTGCAACATCTGGAGCAGACTCTGGCAGGAAGGACAAAGGCAGAGGGTGGATGTGGAAACCACAGCTGAGCACCAGGGGTCATGTGACTAAGGAAGAAGAGCTGAAATCTCTCCTCGCAGCTGCACAAACCATGGAGTTACATCTCTGCTGGCACCTTCCTAAATTCAGTGCCTGTGAAATATCTGAAAGGACAACATGTGCTCCTGCAGCTGAGATGGGACTGGCTTTAGCAGCTCTGGGCTCTGTGGGCATACACATGTGGGGGTTGGGCCAGGCCAGAGTCTGAGTTGCCTCCATAGCTCACACAGTGGGTTCATGTGCATGACTACTGCAGTCCTGGGACCTGAACTCAGAGGACCTGCACTGGTGACATGGTAAAATAAAATAAAATAAAATAAAAATGCCTGAGAGTTACCAGGGCCAATTGCTGGCATATTCATACTTGAGGTGGGACCAAGAGCAGTGCCAACAGCAGTGTACTTTGTGAGCCCACACAACAGGTGAAAGATGACACAACAGAGCACATTCACAGGTGAACAGCTGCAGTGGAGGAATACTCAGTGGCATTTCTCCCAGTGGGAGTGCTCCAATCCTACTACCTCACACCACAGATCAGGAACACAGCTAAGGAACAGATCTGGGGATTTCTACTCCAACAACTAGGAAGAAGACCCCACCCCTGACAGAGCAAAGGGGACGCCCTGCTCAATTTCCAGGGCAGGCTCTTATCACCACAACACCAGTCAAACCCCTTATCAAGAGGATAATGGCACAAGCCTCTGGACCAATCTCAGCTACCAGAGAGCAGACAGCAGAAGCAAGAGGAACAATTATTGTGCAGCCTGTGGCAAGGAGACCACAAACATGGTAAGTTCAACAAAATGAGAAAACAAAGAAATATGTTGTAGATGAAGGAACAAGATAAAAACCTACAAGAACAACTAAATGAAGAGGAGGCAGGCAATATACCCGAAAAATAATTCAGAGTAATGATAGTAAAGATGATCAAAAATCTCGGAATAAGAATGGAGGCACAGATCTAGAAGACAAAAGAAGTGTTTAACAAAGACCTAGAAGAACTAAAGAACAAACAAACAGAGATGAACAATACAATAACTGAAATGAAAAATACACTGAAGGAATCAACAGCAGAATAACTGAAGCAGAAGAATGGATAAGTGACCTAGAAGACAGGATGGTGGAAATCTCTGCTGAAGCACAGAATAAAGAAAAAAGAGTGAAAAGAAATGAGGACAGTCTCAGAGACCTCTGGGACAACATTAAATGCACAAACATTCAAATTATAGGGGTCCCAGAAGAAGAAGAAACAAAGAAAGGACCTGAGAAAATATTTGAGAGATTATAGTCAAAAACTTCCCTAATATGGGAAGGAAATAGTCACCCAAGTCCAGGAAGTACAGAGAGTCCCATACTGGATAAACTCAAGGAGGAACATGCCAAGACACATATTAATCAAAGTAATAAAAATCTTAAATACAAAGAAAAATATTTAAAGCAACTGGGGAAAAATAACAAACAAGGGAATCCCCATAAGGTTATCAGCTGATTTTTCAGCAGAAACTCTGCAGGTCAGAAGAGAGTGGCATGATATATTTAAAGTGATGAAAGGGATAAAACTACAACCAAGAGAACCCTACCCAGCAAGGCTCTCATTCAGATTCTGTGGAGAAATCAAAAGCTTTACAGGCAAGCAAAATGTAAGAGAATTCAGCACCACCAAACCAGCTTTACAAAAAATGCTAAAGGAACTTTTCCAGGTGGGAAACACAAGAGAAGAGAACAAAAGAGGAAGGGAAGAAAAAAGACCTACAAAAACAAACCCAAAACAATTAAGAAAATGGCAATAGGAACACACATATTGATAATGACCTTAAATGTAAATGGGTTAAATGCTCCAACCAAAAGACATAGACTGGCTGAATGGATACAAAAACAAGACCCATATATATGCTGTCTACAAGAGACCCACTTCAGATCTAGGGCCACATGCAGACTGAAAGTGAGGGAATGGAAAAAGATAATCCATGCAAATGGAAATCAAAAGAAAGCTGGAGAAGCAATACTCATATCATACAAAATAGACATTAAAATAAAGACTGTTATCAGAGAAAAAGAAGGACACTACATAATGATCAAGGGATCAATGCTAGAAGAATCTATAACAATTATAAATATATATGCACCCAACATAGGAGCACCTCAATACATAACAAATGCTAACAGCCATAAAAGGGGAAATAGAGAGTAACACAATAATAGTGGGTGATTTTAACACACACACACACCCCTTACACCAATGGACGGATCATCCAGACAGAAAATTAATAAGGAAATGCAAGCCTTAAAAGACACATTAGACCAGATAGACTTAATTGATATTTATAGGACATTCCATCCAAAAGCAACAGAATACACTTACTTCTCAAGTGCAGTGAAACATTCTCCAGGATACATCACATCTTGGGTCACAAATCAAGCCTCGGTAAATTTAAGAAAACTGAAATCATATCAAGCATCTTTTCTGACCACAACGCCATGAGATTAGAAATAAACTACAGGGGGAAAAAAAAAAAACTGTGAGAAAACACAAACACATGGAGGCTAACCAATACGTTACTAAGTAACAAATGGATCACTGAAGAAATCAAAGAGGAAATCAGAAAATACCTAGAGACAAATGACAGCAAAACCATGATGATCCAAAACCTATGGGACACAGCAAAACAGTTCTAAGAGGGAACTTTATAGCAATACAATCTTACCTCAGGAAACAAGAAAAAAAAATCTCAAATAAACAACCTAACATTACACCTAAAGCAACTAGAGGAAGAAGAACAAACAAAACCCAAAGTTAGTAGAAGGAAAGAAATCACAAACATCAGAGCAGAAATAAATGAAATACAAAGAAAACAATAGCAAAGATCAATGAAACTAAAAACCGGTTCTTTGGGAAGATAAGCATAATGGATAATCCTTTAGCCAGACTCATCAAGAAAAAGGGGGAGAGGATTCAAGTCAACAAAACTAGAAATGAAAAATGAGAAGTTAAAATGGACACCCCACATATACAAAGGTTGTTGCTGCAAATGGCATTATTTCATTTATTTTATGGCTGAGTAATCCATTCCTCTGTTGATAGCCATTTAGTTTGATTCCATGTTCTGGTTATTCTAAATAGTGGTGCAATGAACATTGGCATGCATGTACCTATTCGATTTATTTTTTTCTCTTGATATATGCCCAGGAGTGAGATTCCTTGATCATATGCTAGCTCTTGTTTAGCATTTTCAGAAACCTCTGTACTGTTCTCCATAGTGGCTGTACCAATTTACATTCCCACCAAGAGTGTACCAGGGTTACCTTTGCTCCACACCATCTCCATAATTTAATGTTTGTAGGTTTTTTTAATGATGGACTTTCTGACTGGTGTGAGGTGATACCTCATTATAGTTTTGATTCCTATTTCTCTAATGATTACTGATGTTGAGCATCTTTTCATGTGCCTTTTGGCCATCTATATATCTTCTTTGGAGAAATGTCTATTTAAATCTTCTGCCCATATTTTTATTTTTTTATTTTTTTTTGATATTGAGCTGCACGAGCTGTTTGTATATTTTGGAGATTAATTCCTTAACAGTTTCTTCATTTGCAAATATTTTCTCGCATTCTGAATGTTGTCTTTTTATTTTGTTTATTGTTTCCTTTGTTGTGCAAAATATTTTAAGTTTGATTAGGTCCCATTTGTACTTTTGTTTTTATTTTCATTACTCTAGGAGGTGGATTGAAAAATATCTTGCTATGATTTCTGTCCAAGAGTGTTCTTCCTATGTTTTTCTCTAAGAGTTTCAAATTATCTGGCCTTACATTTAGGTCTTTCACCCATTTTAAGTTTATTTTAGTGTATGGTGTTATGGAGTGTTCTAATTTCATTCTTTTATATGTAGCTGTTCAGTTTTCTCAGCACCACTTATTGAAGAAACTATCTTTTCTCCACTGTATATTGTTGCCTCTTTTGTCATAGATTAGGTGACAATATGTGCGTAGGTTTATCTCTGGACTTTCTACCCTGTTCCATTGATCTATATTTCTGTTTTTGTGGCAGTACCATACTGTTTTGATGACTGTAGCTTTGTAGTATAGTCTAAAGTCAGGGACCCTGATTCCTCTAGCTCTGTTTTTCTTTCTTGGGATTGCTTTGACTATTAGAGGTCTTTTGTGTTTCTATACAAAATGATTTTTTTGTTCTAATTCTGTGAAAAATGCCATTGATAATGTGATAAGGATTGCATAGAAGATTGCTTTGGGCAGTATAGTCATTTTTACAATACTGATTTTTCCAATGCAAGAACATGGAATATCTCTCCATCTTTTTTTTTATTTCTTTAATCAGTATTTTATATTTTCTGAATATAGGTCTTTGCCTCCTTAGGTAGTTTTATTCCTAGATATTTTATTCTTTTGATGCAATGGTAAATGGAAATATTTCCTTAATTTCTCTTTCTAATCTTTGGTTGTTAATGTATAAGAATAAAAGACATTTCTGTATATTAAGTTTTTATCCTGTAACTTTACCAAATTCGTTGATGAGCTCTAATGGTTTTTTGGTAGCATCTTTAGAGTTTTCTTGTATAGTATCATGTCACTTGCAAACAGTGGAATTTTATGTCTTTCCCAAATTGGACTCCTTTTATTTCTTTTTCTTCTCTGATTTCCATGGCCAGGACATCCAAAACTATGTTGAATATGACTGGTGAGAGTGGACATGCTTTTCTTGATCCTGATCTTACAGGAAATGCTTTCAGTTTTTCACCTTTGAGAATGGTGTTACAAGAAACCTTTATGGCCTTTATTATGTTGTGGTAGATTTTCTCTATACCCACTTTCTGGAAAGTTTTTACTAATAATGAATGTTGAATTTTGTCAAAGGCTTTTTCTGCATCTGTTGAAATGATCATATGATTTTTATTTCTCAATTTGTTGATGTGGTGTATCACACT